ATGGAAACCAGATTCAATGAACACAGAAAAATACCTTCCCACGTTTTTGAACGCTGCAAAACAAATAAACACAACATTAACATAGAAAACACCAACATATTAGGTAGAGAAACAAAGACAAACAAAAAATCAAAGAAGCCCTACTTATACAAGAACTCAAACCAAAATTGAACCAACATAAAGGAACACCTTTATACCTATATTAATCACCTAACATTTAACTGCTACATCCCCTACAATCTTGTACCTGTTCACACTCTTGTCCCTAAGATGTGTCCTGTAACGGTCAGTTTCCAACTGTCTTTGTTAACCTAAGAAGGTCGAAACATTGTTCTTGTATTTTATTTTAATTGAAGTTTTTAATACCCATACCAGCCACCTCTGCTATACAAATAGAGGAATAAATAATTTATTACAGTTAAGTGAAAAAAACAAAAACCACAAGCAACAACAGACATTCAAATCTGTAACTTATCCTAAAAGAAACTTAAGATTTTTACTATTTTAGTAATTTTTTAATGATAAAAAATAAGAAGAATGGGAATAGAGAACTTGTTACAAGTAGGTGAAAAAAATTGCAACAGACGTTCATATCCATACACAATCCTAACTAAAACTTGAGACTATATGTCAGATGATTTTTATATTTTCCATTTCTATTTATTCATTATTAAGCTTTTGGCACCTCCAAGCACAATGCACCCTGGGTAACCACCCAGTTAGCCAGGCCTTGAGCCAGCCCTTTCCACACTTTAGCTTAAGCCTTTCTAATAAAAATACACTTTACAACAACTATCACAGCACATTACAAGAGAAAAGTAAGCCATTTTTACTTACAAATTAAATTTTATACTCTAATGTTACATAATAAAGTTGAAATTAAGGCATCTTCTAACATGAAAAGTAGCAAAGTCTCAAGCGGTAATAAGTCAAAAACAGTAGGCTTACTTATGTATCACTCAGAGAGTATTTGATAAAAATGGTGAATATAAAAGAATCCAATATGAGCATGTGCTATGCAGCTGATAAAGAACACTTTGAAAAACTAGCTTGTTGCACACAGTCTAGTCACTGACAAGTAAAGTGTTGCCATATTAATAGTCATTCAAACCCCAACTGTGAAAAAACATTAGATTTCAGATCACAACAGTAAAGTCATACTTGAAAGTTACTAATAAAAACTGTTTATGCTACAGACACACCAATACACATATTCATAAGTATCTGTGTTGATCAACTGCCTTCTAATACATATGTTCAGCTCTACAACTTCCAATCTCTTTACCTTCATGTGGAATTTAATGCACACTAAGCTTCAATATAATAGCTGAAGTAATCTATAAAGTTAGTCAGTAGAGGAATTTGTAATTACTAAACAAAACAACATTTCCCTACAAAACCATTAGTAAAATCACAACTAGACAGACAAAATCATATTAAAGTTTATGAAATAAAATAGAATTGCTTAGTGTTGTAACAGACAATACCACTGAAATGAAAAGTTTTCATAACAAAAATAACCTAACCCATCCCATAGCATTTTACTATTATACCACTCATATCATGAACCTTCTTACAGGTAACATCATGAAGCTAAAAGCAAACTCCACATTCATGAAAGAATGCAAAGCATGTTCAAGATTCTTACCTTCTAACTGTTCTACTTACTGACATACAAATGAAATGATCAAATAATTTTTGAAACTGTCAGCAAAGATGCATTGGAGCTCCACCTTACAAGACTGGTCCAAAAAACATTTGCCATACACTCTAAAAATGTCTGAAGAAGCCAAACCTTCTTTGGACAGTGACACCTTCCAAGTAAGAGTAGAGAAAATGGTCAAACCTTTGAAAACTATCGCTAATGGATCATTAACCTTGAATTATGATACCCAAAAATAAGTCTTGTTCATGTTTCCAACAAACCATCAAGAAAACTTGACACTTAAGTTACCTACTACTCCAATTACAAAATCAAAGAAGAAGCAACTCTTCAATGTCCTCAAGTAACTTATGGAACTTGTGATTCATCTGGTTCACATGGATGTAAACATTCTACAGTAGATCCTGCATATTACTTATGAAAAGTCACGTAAGCCATGCTTGAACTGAACAAAAGTAGTCAGATTCACCTTGGTACAAATGCAAGATGAGCCTTCAAGTTAAGTCACATGTGTGGACATATCTAGATGGTTGGGAGGATGATGCAAAGTCATAGAAATTGTTCACTAATGTAGCAGTGGCAGAATGGTATTCATGAACCGACTCCATACACAATTGTTGTAACTATCTGTTACAATATCTCAATACAATATGTTTGTGCACTTTAATAAGTGTACCAAACTTATTTTAAAGTGGGCAGGTTTACTAATGCATCTTATACACAAACTAAAGTTTCTCTCCAGAGACATAAAAGCTGGAGAAAAGGTATACAATTAACAGTTATTTTCTGCTTCAACTGGGTGATTTTAAAGAAATTCTGAATCTTTTGAAGAACAAAAGTTTTCTGATGAAACTGCCATATTCACAGACAACAGACGAGACGCTCAAATTTAAAGGGAATGTCATTCCCACTATTAAAAGTAATATAATACCCCCCTTTCACTGGTAAACAAAATTTAACTGACTTAGCCCATAAAGTTATTGTTCATTTTTTTTCAGAATATACAAACTATATGTACTGAAAATAGTAACAACTATATCGCTTAGAGTCAATATACAAAAACCTTTCTTCCACTGCCACATTACACTGGAAAATTTCTCTGATTTTGCACCATCATTCCAACCATCCATATATTTTTCACATAATTGTTTTATTCAGTAAGAGAATTAAATTCATGGTATATTTATTCATCTTATACATACTGTGAACTGTGGTGTCTGTCCAAGCATTTGTCCATCTCTCATTTGACAAGCTGCACATGAAGACAAAGCTGAACATTCACTTTTGAAATAATTGGAGAACAGGCATGAATAGTGTTGATGCCAAATTTTATTTTGAAAATTGGATATTCTACACTAAGATGTTAGGAATTAATCACACTATCATTCACATTTCAAAATATGACGTAACTTAAAGAAAAAAAAATGTAGATTTATCATGTTATTGTTGAGAGACTCTTAGCATGACCGAAAAAAAAATCAATCTTAGTAAAATCAAGCACAATTAACCTTTTTAAAGTCAATGAAATAATTTAAATTGATAGATTAACTTAAACTTCTCCCATCACTGGGGATGGGTACTTTTGCTTATATATAATATGTATTAAAGTACTAGTGTAGAGTACACTTCTTTCATATATATATATATACATGTTCTGAAGGATGGCAGTATGTGTTTACAAAATAATGCTACTGCCAGTACACTCAATTGAAATCTTCTTGAGCAACTTTAACAGTTGTTTTTAGAAGTCTATTTTTGTATATATGAAAGAACTGCAAGCAACTACCTTGAATCATTAGGTTTAATTTTTTTTTTTTAAATGAAGTGAAAGTATATAATTTAGAATATTACTATTATAGACATTTGCAAAACAAATGTTCAAAGCATTAAGTATTCTTTCAAATGTTATTCAAATCCGTAACAGAGTGTAACCATTAACATTTCAATAACAAAACCGCCATTACTTAAAAATACTTGACAAACAATAATTATTTGTGGAAAAATTACCACTATGTGTAACATTGCCATTGTTTTTAAATTGAAGTTAACATTCATTTTGTATCACTATTGAAACCTATATTCAACCACTGAAAACATTAAAAACAGTATGCACATTACCACTACCATATGTTGACATAAAATATTTCGTAATTACTATTATGTAAAACATAGTTGAATATATACAAACCACCCTATGCACAAATGTGACATATTATCACTCAGTAACCACTGGTACTACTAACAGTAATACTATCACTTTAGCAGAGTCAGTCTATATTATACTCACTATTACTATTATTAGCATCAGTCATGATGCCTCAAGCTGCAGACTTATGATCTGTTGAGGCTTTATTTTTACTACAACTTGCAATGTGATATCTAGTAAAAACACTTTTTTAAGTTTACTTTAGGGTTTTTACTGATTCAAAATAACATTCACAATACAAATATTGAAATAATAATGCACTTGCCAAAACAAAAATATTTCTATAAATTCCATCCATATTCACGAATCACTTAACATTAAATACTTTTTTAAAGAAATTCGATTACAAGCTGACAAAATCGTTCATTTG